ACTGGTCCTTCTGGAGGTCTTACTGAGCGTCGTGAGCCTGCGTCTCATCCTGCGTCGCCTGTTCGTGCTGCTCGCACTAGTGGTCGTGCTCCGTGTCCGCGTCCTTCTGCGGTCCCAGGCACACACCAGATGGCACTGCATCCGTCCACTGCTCCTCTGCATGTCCCGTTGCCGTCTCCTCCTGAGTCCTCTCTTCCTGTCCTTGCTGACCCGGAGTCTGACTCTCTTCGTGCTGCCAGTCCTACTGTCACGCGTCTCCTGGCTACTGTTGTCACTGGCCCTTCCTTTGAGTCCACTGCTGCGTCTGCCTTGGTTGCTGAGCTTGTCGACTTTGCTGCTCGCTGTCGTCTAGACTACGCCACTAGTCTTGTTGCTGAGTCTGAGTCTGTCTGTCCTCCGTCCGTCGGGGGTGAGTGTGCTCTTAGCACGGACGTCCTTGAGGACAGGCAGGAGGAGTTCCAGTGTTTTGGTGCTGCTTTGCCTCATCTCGTGTCCACGCTGATTGCCCCTGAGGGAGACCCGGATGCACCAGACATCCCGACTCCTCGATCGTACGCTGAGGCGATCGAGGCTCCCTACTCCTCTCAGTGGCAGTCAGCCATGGACGCAGAGATGGCTTCCTGGAAGTCCACAGGCACCTACGTCGACGAGGTTCCCCCACCTGGGGCGAACATCGTCAGTGGCATGTGGATTTTCAGGGTGAAGCGGCCGCCGGGTTCTCCGCCTGTCTTCAAGGCGCGTTACGTGGCTCGAGGCTTCAGTCAGCGACAGGGAGTTGACTACTTTCAGACCTTCTCTCCCACCCCGAAGATGACCACTCTTCGGGTGCTACTGCACATAGCCGCTCAGCGCGACTACGAGCTTCACTCTCTTGACTTCAGCACAGCTTTCCTGCAGGGCAGCCTGCATGAGGAGATCTGGCTGCGCCGCCCACCTGGCTTCACTGGGTCGTTTCCTCCTGGTACCCAGTGGAGCCTCCGGCAGCCAGTCTACGGTCTCCGCCAGGCGCCCCGTGAGTGGCACGACACACTGAGGACTACACTTGCGGCTCTTGGGTTTGCTCCTTCTACTGCCGACCCGTCGCTGTTTCTGCGCACCGACACCTCTTTGCCGCCGTTCTACATCCTCGTGTACGTCGACGACTTGGTCTTTGCCACTGCTGACACTGCTGGACTCGCCCACGTGAAGTCCGAGCTGCAGAAGAGACACACGTGCACAGACCTTGGTGAACTGCGCAGCTACCTTGGCTTGCAGATCACCCGGGACAGAGCACAGCGCACCATTACCCTGACTCAGTCACACATGGTGCAGCAGGTCCTTCAGCGCTTCGACTTCACGTACTCCTCGCCTCAGGCCACTCCTCTGTCTACTCGCCACTCGCTCTCAGCTCTGCCTTCGGATGAGTCCGTAGAGCCGAGTGGCCCGTACCCAGAGCTTGTTGGCTGCCTCATGTACCTAATGACCTGCACACGACCTGACCTCGCATACCCTCTTAGCATCTTGGCACGCTATGTTGCTCCTGGGAGACACCGACCAGAGCACATGGCTGCAGCGAAGAGGGTGTTGCGCTACTTGTGCAGTACGTCGGGCATGGGGCTAGTGCTTGGAGGGCGACGTCGAGTGGTCCTCACAGGTCACGCAGACGCTTCTTGGGCTGACGACCAGGCTGCGCAGCGGTCGTCACAGGGTTACACCTTCAGCCTTGGCTCCGGCTCTGTTTCGTGGCGGTCTACCCGCTTGTCTTCTGTTCTCGGCTCTAGTTGTGAGGCTGAGATCTACGCGGGGGCCATGGCTGCACAGGAGCTACGCTGGCTCACCTACCTGCTGACTGACCTGGGAGAGCCGCCTCGTTCTCCTCTAGTTCTGTACGTAGACAACAAGGCCATGCTGGCCTTGTGTCGGGAGCACAGACTGGAGCACAGAACGAAGCACATTGCTCTTCGCTACTTCCTTGCTCGTGAGCTGCAGCAGCGTGGTCAGCTGCGCCTTGCTTACGTGGCCTCTGAGGCCAACAATGCTGATATCTTTACCAAGGCACTTCCGCCTTGTGATCATCAGCGCTTCTGTACGATGCTAGGTCTTGTGCCTACTTGGCCTCACTTGCTCACTTCTTGACCTTGCTTGTACTGTGATCTTTCTATACCTGCACTTACTTGTTTACCTTTATATATGATCTTGCATGTGAACTGGCCTTGTGGCCTTGCTCTTGTGCTCGGACTGTGTGGTGACTTTGTGATCCACCCTGAGCTTGCCTTGCTTTGCTTGACTGGTCTTGTGACCTCTTGTTCTCCCCCACTTTGCCTATCGGGGTGTGTCAAACTCTTATGCTATAGTCTGTGTAGGCTGTAGTGGGGTAGACAATATGGGGTACAACATTTCTAGGTTTTCCTACTTGTACCCACCTCTTTCCTAGTTTATTCATTCCTCATTTCTTCACAATAAATTCAACTCGATTGAGAAGGCAAGCACGAGATTTACAGTTTTTGTGTTAAAAAATACAAATAAATATATATGTCATTTTATAAACGCATGCGCTTATAAATTTACTCGATTATAAGCCCACCCCCCTAAAAAAACCTGTTTTATTATTTCCCCCCATGGGGGTATATCCGGGGTATGACGGTATCAATGTTCCATGTACGAACACCAAAAGTATATCCTCTTAAAGCTCTGGTTAATACGGATCGATCGGTATGAAGGAAAACACCATCAGTCATGAAATTGTGTGACATTGTTACCTCCGAATTTGAGCTGGAAGCCATGGCGGAGAGCTCTAGAATGGAGTGGAAAAATGTTGAGCCACAATGCCATCCGAAACATGTGAATTGAGCACTAGCATTGTGAATACTGAAATGTGGTTGTAAATACTAATATATAATATCTGGCGAGGAAAAGTGTAGCGAGAACAGTGTGTATTTCGTTCTACGGTTTTCTGCATCGTATCCCACCCGTCACCACCTTGTCGCCAGCAGGCCTGTCGTTTCGTTTTGGGGCCCCCGGACAAATCAGGGGGCCCGGCATGTACGACCCTGTATTTAGCAGGGTCTGGGCGAATCGGCCCTTAAGGCTTCAGGGCTGGAAAAAATTCCTCCCTTTGAATCAGGTTTGGTGCAAAATTTTCTGCAGCCTCATTTCAGCTGCAAGCTTACAGCTACACTTTTAGATAAAACTATTACAAGCAAGCACGACATAAGAAAAACAAGTTAGTGTTATTTCACTCCGGTACGCACGCTTAGCATGCTCCTAGCCTTGGCAGCACTGAAGACCTCGTGCATTTCTACCCACCCCACAGAACAGTCTAGCATCTTCACAATCATAACCGATCTAGCTCAACATCACTTAACATCATTTAGAGCAGTCCTGTCCCATCACTTAACTTCACGACGGGGATGAGAGATGTGTTTTGCTGCTGGTATGCCAATTTATGCTACTGTCTGTGTGTCGAGGCAAGGGGCGAAGGTGTGAAATACAAGTTGTAGGCTGAGTTGAATTTGTGGCACAACTCCAGATTTGCCAGGTTGATGCAATAAGGTCAGGATAGAAACGGAGGGGAGGGGGAAGAGGAGGAGTTGGGGGGGTTGGTGGGGAGGGGGTCGGGGGGGTAGGCTCGAAAGAATCTGTTCCAGGGTCGCCTAAAATCTACCCTCAACAGACCAGGCCTAAGCCCAAAATCAGCCCTGTAAGGAATCAGGGCCAGAAATTTCCCACCCATCAATTTCAGTTTTCAAGGGCGACCCAGCCCTGGAATTCAAGGTCCAGCAGGGCAAATACCCTTGCAAGCGACAGGCCTAGTCGCCAGCTCCAACAGGTCGGACCCCGCGCTTCGCCCCCTTATTTTCGCCAGCAGCCGATCCGCCTTGGCAGGCAACAATGACATGGGGCTGGTTGAGCATGACACGTCACGCACGCGTCGCGGCTTCTGTGGAAAAACGTTGAAAAGTAGCCCATTTGCAGCAGCGAAGGAACCACAGATCTCGTGCGCAAGGTACAGTAACTGCTCTTGCGCATTCTGCGGATAGGGTTTCAGGACGCACATAAAAATTCCAGACACCCACCGACGGACAGCAACCACGCCACAGTAGGAGATGCACCTGCAAGCAATGAAACCTTCCACCCCCTCCCTTACTCCCAGTATCCTCTTCCCCTGCCAGACAGATGGGTGTGTGTGTGTTCAGTGCATGTCTTGGTTGAGGGGGGAGGGGGTGGTGGTGAGGACCTTACTGTACTCCCAGTTACCGCTTCATGAACATGTCTGTCACTGCGCCCATCACACCACACACAACTGACGCGGCGAGGCGAGGTATCCACGACCACCAACAACTCCACCCTACACCAACCGAACTCGGCAAGAAAAGAACGTGGAAAGTTGGAAACGCCGCAATCCGATGACAAAGCGGGTGAGAGGAAGCACACCACACCACGCCACACCCGCCAATCTTCCGCTGATGTTCCCCTCGATCCTGCTGAGTCCTCAAAGGTCCAGCCCAGCACCGCCATTTACGAGCGTTGAGCAGCCCTTGGCCAGCTTATGTACAGTATAAGTTGAGGACATCCCTTCCCTAAGCTTCAATCAAGGTTCGCGTCTTCTCTTAGCAATTGCAACTCAAGTTTTCCAGACTTGAGTTCGTATAGTCACTGGCTCACAGCATCCAGTACAATAGTTTTCCAAGCTGGTTCGACGAGGCCGCCATCCTTCAAAATCAACGCCGAAATTCCTCCAAACCGCCTCGAATTCGCCATCAATCCGTTCCGCAGCCAACCGAACACATTCCCCGGCTATCCTCTCTCTACTCACTCGACACTCATCGTTCCACCCGTGTCGCCCACACCGTCCACGGAGCGGCATTCCGCCAACGACATAATCACTTCCCGATTCGCACGTGCACGTATCTCAGCTCTTTAGACACCATCCGTCGATTACAAGGGTCGTTCACATCCGTTTCTCCCGTTCCACGTCCCCTCCCATCGCCCTGCCGCGCTTCTCCGCCGCCTCCGCCACGATGGCCGCGACTCGTCTGCTCCCCGTTCTCCTCCTGCTTCTCGTCTCCCACGCCGCCCTCTCGTCAGCTGCACCCCGTCTGCCAAAAAGAATCTCTCTGACCGTTCAAGCCCACGCGCAGCGCCTTCGAGCACGAGCCGCGGCTTTGAGCTCGAACTCCCAGGGCCTCTTCAGTCAGCTCCGCGGCGCCGTAACCCCCGCCGCAACCGGCGGGCCCATTAAGTACTGGGGAGGTCCCATTGTCGCGGGTAACCCCACGGTGAACATCTACCACATCTACTACGGCAGCTGGCCGTCGGGGTCCGGGCAGGTCTACATCGACAACTTCGTTAGGTCTTTAAGTAGCGACTCGGGCGCGCAGGGCTCGTCGAGCGACCCGACGGTGAAGGGGTGGTGGGCGATCTCGGCGAACTACTATCAGACGAGCAGCGGGGCGAAGAAGAACGTGAGCTCCAAGGTGCGGCTCGCCGGAACGACGTACGACAACTACTCGTACGGCAAGGCGCTCACCGACAACTATGTGCTCTCCAGTAAGCCCTTGCCTCCAAACCTTGCTTTTGAGCCGCCTCAAGAGTCGTGCTTTCCAATGCTTCCTTCCTGTGCTTGTTGGGCAGAAAGACTTCGTTTTCGATGCCTGCCACGTAGTGTTTTTCACCGGAAAGTCAACGGAGAAGCATTCCGTTGGTGTTAGCGCAAATGCTGCCGGCCCGTGCCCCCCCCCCCCCCAAATTTCTTGTCTTGTGAACGTTTTTATGGAAAGTTTGCCTGCCGTTTTTCTCCCTAGTGTGTGCTTTCGCCATTTCATGGGAGCTTGCTGGCCTAGTAAGCTTCGACCAAACTTTTCTCTCTCCCATATTCTGGCGTGTCCATCGCAGTCGTCAAGAGCAAGATCGGATCTGGCAAGGCCTTCGCGTACGACCCGCACGGAATCTACGTGCTTCTAACCAGCAAGGACGTGACTCTTTCGTCAGGCTTCTGCAGCCAATACTGTGGATGGCACACGGTCGGCTATATCAGTTCATCCCCATTCTATTACGCGTTCGTGGGTCACCACGGCCAGTGCCCCAACTCGTGCGGCGCAAAGAGCACCTCCCCCAATGGCAACCCCGCTATTGACGCCACCATCTCGACTCTCGCGCACGAAATTACTGAAGCTGCTACGGACCCGGATGTGCGGTCTGGCTGGTTCGACTCGAATGGGGAGGAGAACGCGGACCTGTGCTCCTGGAGTTACGGAACTACACTCAACTCAAACGGTTACACTTATAACATGGTTGGGTTAAACGGAATGAGGTTCCTGGTGCAGCAGAACTGGGACAGGCAGCTGCAGAAGTGTGTCAACCAGAATTCCCTTCCGGGCAGCACCACCACACCTTCCCCTCCTCCCCCATCGCCCGGAACTACGAAGATGAACTGCCAGTGCACGTGCGTCAGTGGCAGCTCTCCCATGAACTGCCAGTGCTCGTGCACCCCGGTTGCGTGAAGGTTATATGGCTGACACAAGTCTTAGGGGTGCATTCCTGGCGCATGTCACATATCATCGCGTCACAGCAGACGAGATACATTGTGGTGCAAAACTTTCATTGCCAGGTGCAATGCGTTGCAAAATGGTACTGGCTTTTGTGACGCCTTCTTTTGTGATGCTACTGCCAGGAATGCACCCTCAAGCTGGGTGAGGGTGGAAGGGTTATCAGTGTGTGCTTGTAGATTATTGTCACCCTTCCAGTTGCTGGAAGGGAAGGGATTTGGGTGATAACTTCTGCTTCTCTTTTAGCAGCAGTGTGAAACAATCTTGTTTTGCTGTATGATGTTCTAATACTACTTGCTTCAACTGTTATAGCAGTCCTAAATCTGAAAGCGCTGCTTCTATCAGCTACGGTACAGTATGAAATGATGGAGCAATGCTGAGGTAAAGCACAACATAAGGAAGGATCATTTATACGATATCATCTGTGCACAAATCTACTTGAATTTTGGAAACAGCATCGATGTTACGAGGTGAATGGCTAGCTCCTCTCCCACAAACACATCTCCTCCCACCATGATAGATGGCATGCCCTTCTTCCCCATCAGGACAATGCCAGGGAATTTATCCCCTGTCATTTTCGAGATCTTTTGGCCGTCCACCTTTGTCTTGATCTTGTATCCCGCCTTCTCCTTCATCAGCTTCTTGTACTTGTACTGTTTCGGTATCATATGGTACTTCATTATCTTCTCACGCTCTTCTGCACTGTAGTCCTTGATTGAAGTGTAGTACTCGGTGACGTCTAGGGGAATCAAAATCGTCATGGGGCCTTCCTCGTTTGCTGCAGTGAGCACTGTAAACAGACAGGTGAAAAGGAAGAGAGAAAGGAAGGCGCACATGAAGGTATAGGCAGGGGAGAGCGTGCACAATGCATCAACAGGGCAGGAGGGAGCGAGAAAGTGGGAGAGAGGGATACATGGAGAGAAATAAAGGTGAAATAGGGCCCTAGAGTGAGCGTGTGGGGCGAGAGTGAGCGAGGGGCGACGAGAGTGAGAGAGAGAGAGGGCGAGCGAGGGTGAGTGAGTGGTGACGAGAGCAAGGGGGGACGATAGCGAGCAAGGGGGGCGGGAGTGAGCGCGGAGGGGCGGGACAGGGTGAGAGGAGACGAGGGTGAGCGAGAGGGGCGAGAGTGAGTGAGAGGGGCGCGAGTGAGTGAGAGGGGCGCGAGTGAGTGAGAGGGGCGCGAGCGAGTGAGAGGGGGGCGAGCGAGTGAGAGGGGCGCGAGCGAGTGAGAGGGGCGCGAGCGAGTGAGAGGGACGCGAGCGAGTGAGAGGTCGAGGGAGTAAGAGGGCGAGCGCGTGAGAGGGCGAGCTAACGAGAGGGCGAGTGCCTGAGAGGGTAGTGAGCGAGAGCGAGTGAGTGCGAAAGAGGAAACGCGAGAGGCGGGAGGGGGCGAGAGAAGAGGGAGAGTGAGGGCGAGATAGACACAAGGGCTCGCCAGAGCGGCATGATTGCAATGGTGTAACATCTGTGCAGCGATCCCAAGATCCATACAAAGGTTGAACACTCACACAGCTTTTCAGTGAATTTCACGTAAGCAGGAACTTCCTTTCCCTTTCCGCCATCTCCGCCGCCCTCGTCCCCTCCACCTCCACCTCCGCCACCTCCAGCCATTGGCGACGTTCGCGAACCTCGCAGAAGCCGCATGTGGAACGAGTATGGCCTGAACTTGCGGTGCAACTTCAAGGCGGAAACCGCGCGAAACAATTCGTTCGGATGGATGGACTCGACGGAGGGGATCGACGCGGCCGCGGCTGACACGACGAGCAGCAGAAGCGCGAGGCGGCACGGGCGCGGTGAAGCCCGCGCTAGCCGCGCTGACGTTGCCACCGTTGTCAAAATCATGGTCGCTTGACGCGACTGGTTCCCAGCTCGTTGATGCGGAGAATAGATTTGCTGTCGGAACAGCTCTGAAAACGAAGTGAGGCGAATTACGGGTCCGACGATTCTGGCGCGACGCGAAGTGATGATGCGACCGTTGAGGTAATGATTGGAAAGAAGCTGCTCCGTGATGCCTCAGACGTCAGGGGTGGGGGAAACTGATGCGGAGACGATAGAGAGACGTGCGAATTGAATCTTTATTATCAAAATGAGAGATTGCTGCCTGGCGGTTTGACACTGAGATTGCATATCCTTGGTGATCGAATATAAGCAGCCGTCGAGCTGAGGAAAGCTGCTTGTGTCGCAGAGACGCGCTTCGGTTCTCCCATGGTTCTAAGAAAAGGAGCCAGGTGCGGAACAATAACCTTCCGAGCCGTAATGTGCGGCTGATAGCAATCTGCTGATTACCCAGCAGACATCGAGTCGACCTTGCGACTCGACGTTGCGAGCTGAGCTTATCGTTGCATCGCCTGGATTTCTTCTCCCATTCACTACTAACAGCGGCAGGTGCAGATGTTACAAAAAACGCCTCGCATCGGCCACGCAATCTATGGTGGTGCCGTGATAATGCCAGGCCATTCAACGCTACTGTACTCGTGGACGGGTACCCACCCATGTGGGTCCTTGACAAATGAGTTGTGAGCACTCATTAGCCATGTTCGCAGCTGCTCCCTCCCCTAGCTCTGAATTATGAAGTAGGCACCTGAAAAATCACGTGAGACCGGTGCGACGATTTCAAGGGCATCCTGGTCGCTGTGAGGATGGGCGATCTTTTGGATCCACTCGTTGCGTCATCCTCCACCGATTTGTCGTCGATAGGCGCACTCCATTAGTCGCATAGGCGATCACACCTGAACTTGATCTCATTCGCTGGCTCCTGAGAACTGGGTGACCACGTGGTATGCGACGGGACCAGGGTCAGTGACTCGTTAACAGATTCACCTGCACACCCTCCATGATCTAGAAGTGTCTTCTCTCATATTTATGGTATTATTTGCATCAGTATATCCTTACTCGCAACGTTGCAGTCATCGCAATCAATGAAGACTATATTCTTTGAACCGAAAATCCTCGCAAAGGGGATTCGTTCACTCCCACCGATAATACCTGTAACACGGGCTTATAGAGAAACGCCCTTAAAATCACAATAAAGATCCGGGCTTATAGCCAATGCCCACAAAAGGGTCTATAGTAGGCTTATAAAACGCCAACAACAAGTGCATACAAGATAAACTAGACCCTAAGCTAGCCTTGGGCCTTGAAGGCTTGGTAGTTGAAGCTCTGAGAGTGATGGAGTAGTTTCACCAAAAGAGTAGTTGAAGGCTAGAGCACTTGTGAGGGAGAAACCTTGTACTTGGAGAGAAAATCCCATTTCCAAAATTGATCAATTGGAGTTGGGAATGAGAGAATGAGCCTTGGAGCTCCAAACCCCTTCCTCAATAACCCTTGGGGAGCTCCACCTCCTCCATGGCAACAAGGACAAGGAGCTCCTTAAGGTGAGTTTGCTTAGGTGGCATGTTGGTTGGATTTGCAACCAATGAGAGCAACTTATTTGTGATAAGAATTGTCTGGTTACCTGTTGTAACTTGTAACAGCAACGTTGAAATGCTATTGGTTTGAATTTCCACCAATGTGAAGGTTGGGTTGGTTCCCAACCTTGTTTGTCTTCTAGTGGGTGGTGATTCACAATTGTGGACCAATCAATAATCATCCCTTCCAACCCTTTCTTCCCGTAAGTCGCTACCTTGCGTAGGTAGCGCTTTAGAGAGCCTTAGCTAGGATAGTCGCTAGGGTAGGTATGTGATGCGTTACACTCCTCCCCCTCCAGTTGGCAACGTCCTCGTTGCCTTGGAGTGCTTCTTGGGGCGAGTGCTGCGAGCATGACGCACCACATTACGGCCAGGGTCAACACCATCCACTGGCTGTGGGCTGCTCGGAGAGCCAAGTCTTCCATCTAAGCTTGAACTGCTGTTTCAGTCAAGTGTTCTTCTGGCTCCCAAGAATTGTGTTCAGGCCCGTAGCCTTTCCACTTAATGAGGAACTCACGTTTTGTTTTACGGTCGCGTTGTCGATCACGGTGCATCAGCACACGCTCGACTTCATAATACTTCCTCACATAGGACGATGGCTGGTGGTGGTAAGTATGTGCCGTCGGCTACATACTTGTTTAACAGAGACACGTGGAAGACATTGTGAATCTGCAAGGTGTCTGGTAGCTTAAGCTTATAAGCCACCGCCTCAACCCGCTTGATGACCTCGAATGGCCCAATCCAACGAGGAAACAGCTTTCGCGCCCCAGGTAATTTGAGTCGAATATTTTTCGTACTCAACAGAACTTTGTCTCCCTCTTGAAAAGAGATGTCTCGGCGTTTCATGTCGGCATAAGACTTTTGGCGTTGTTGGGCAAGTTGCAACCAACGACGAGTAGACTTAAGCGCTTCTTGCTGCTTGCCAATAAAGTCCTTAGCGGCTGGAATTTTCAAGCCACTGACCCCATGCGTAGTAGGTGTTGTGGGGTGCTGACCACAATTTAAGATGAAGGGTTTTCTGTGGGTGCTTTCATGCACTGAGTTGTTGACATCAAATTCCACGACTGGCAACAGCTCATCCCAATCATCCTGTGTTGGGCCAATAAACGAACGAAGCATTTGTTCAAGATTGAGATTTGTGCGTTCGGTCTGTCCATCCGTTTGAGGGTGGAATGCAGACGACATTTTCAGCTTCGTCCCTAGTGTCCGAATGACCTCTTGCCAAAAACGACTTGTAAAACGAGGGTCTCGGTCAGACACTAGCACACGAGGCAAACCATGTAAACGGAAAACATGTGCAATAAACAACTTAGCCGTATCTTCTGCTGATACGTCCGTGGTTGTAGGCACGAAGTACACCATCTTGGTCAAACGATCCACGAAGATGAGGATCGATGTATGACCATCTCGTGTTTTAGGGTTGAAATCCATTGATACACTTTCCCAAGGTTCGTCAGGGATTCCGAGTGGTCGAAGCAACCCACCGGGTTTTTGTGTACTCGATTTGTTACGTGCACACGTGTCGCAGCGTGTAACAAACTGCTGGACTTCATTGCCCAACCCTGGCCACCAATATATGTCAGACAATGCCCATCGGGTTTTCTTAACTCCGAGGTGTCCACTGTATTTACTGGAATGCACTTCTTGTAAGATGTCAATCCGTAGGTTCCCCACATGTGGTACTACAATTTCTTTTCCATGCCACCAGAGTTCATGCTCCCACGAGAGATCCTTCGTATTCTGTGGGTTCTGAAATCAGGAATCAATCTGATAGCTTGTGCGGATTCGTTTCAGAAAACCACTGAAGGTAATCTCACTGACTCGAGCAACAGCGAGGATACCAAAGTAAGCTGCAAAGACGGCAGCATGTTCGGTGTCCTCAAGCCCGTTTGCTGCCCCTATCGGTTGTCTGCTGAGGGGGTCAGCCATGTTCGTCGAACCTGCCCGGTATCGAATATCGTATGTGAACCCGCAAAGGAGCTCAGCCCATCGGGCCTGACGACGAGTAAGGGTGGCTTGGCTGGAAAAGTAGGTGTTTGGACAATGGTCAGTCGTGACAACAAAGTCCACACCTTCCAAGTAACATCGCCATGTTTGTAGCGCATGGACGACTGCCAACAGTTCTTGTTCAAAAGTCGTATAGCACTGCTTTTCCGGGGAGAGCTTTCTACTCTCGTATGCCACAGGGCGTCCTTCTTATAGGAGGACCGCACCAATCCCTACTGTTGAGGCATCTGTGACTACCTCGTAAGGTTTTGTTGGATCTGGTAATACCAGAACGGGAGCATTGGTCAACTTTTGTTTGACCGCTTCAAATGCCTCTTGGCATTGTCTGGTCCATTCCCACAACGTACCTTTTCGAGTAAGTGCGGTCAATGGGGCAACGATGGTTGAATAATTCTCCAAGAAACGGCAAAAATAATTGGCTAAGCCCAAAAAGGACCTGACTTGACCCACGTCCTGTGGAACGGGCCAGTTCTCAACAGCCGCCACTTTCTTGGGATCGACTTTCAACCCACTGTTCCCCACAAGATGTCCCAGGTATTATAATTCGCGCTTATAGAAGTGACACTTCCACAGGCGAGCATAGAATTTGTGCTCTCGTAGTTTGTTTAACACCCATTTTAGGTGTTCTGTGTGCTCCTGTTCGGTCTTGGAATAGACCAGTATATCGTCGAGGTAAACCAAGACGAACTGATCGATTGCCTCACGAAAGACATCATTCATCGCCCTCTGAAAAGAGGCCGGTGCATTGGTCAGACCGAAACTCAGCACACGCCATTGAAAATGCCCAAACGGCGTGCGAAACGCTGTTTTGGGTACATCGTCGTTGGTGATGCGCAACTGATGGTACCCCTGTGCGAGGTCCAATGCGCTAAACCATTGGGCACCCTCGAGACGATCAAACAGATCCTCAATGCGAGGCAGCGGATATCTGTTCTTAATCGTGATCTTGTTTAAGGCGCGATAGTCAACGCACATGCGTAGCCCTCCACACTTCTTGTTAACAAACAAGATTGGTGCTCCGTATGGTGATGCACTAGGTTCAATCCATCCCTTTTTCAGATAATCTTCGATTTGTTGCTTAGCCTCTTCGTACTCAGCTGGACTGAGGCGATACAGAGGTCGAAACGGTGGTGCCCTTCCAGGCTCCACGAGAATGGTATGATCCACAGCGCGGTCTGGAGGGAGTCCATCAGGAATCGGTTCGAAAACCTCCTTGAAGTCTTCCGCCAG